TTCACTCACAGTGTCAAAAACACAACGTCAGATAATATATAGAATATGCACACACTTGTTTCCTCGTATTATACCGTTGGTATACATCAATAGAGAAACTTATATACCCAGTCCTATATATGGGGGGGGGGGGGTAGCGGTATTTTATATAGAGAAAATAAGGAGACGGAGCAAATGACAGGGCAGCCAAAGTGACAATGGGCCATCGCGTTCTGGAGTAGTGGTGTACATAATATCTATAGATGAGTGTGTCCCATCCCCCCACCCCCCCGAATAAGCTCTGCAGTCGCCTGATCAAACACACCGGGAAAAGAGAAGAAGCTCGCGCTACGGCATCATCAACCCCTCGTCCATCTCTACACTGTGCACATATATATATATATGTACTTCTCTTTTATATACATTATAGTGCAATAGTAGGTACACACATCTATATATATATAAAGGGTATATGATGACGCGTAGGTATACCTAACGCACATATAGTGTCACTGACATCTTTGCATTGTGCCGAGAGAGATGAGGACTCGCAGAGAGAGACCATTGTCATATATTACTTATACACACACGCGCACTCCCGATGTATTGTCGCGTTGTCATTGCCCATTTTGCCAGTGCAGTGTATACCTACGTGTGTATATTATAATATGATGTTTCTGCTATACCGTCGAACACTCCGCCACCCCTCTTGTAAAATGTTTACCCGAGCCGAAGCTCTCTCTTTTTTTTTTTTTTTCGCGTATACGTATAATATAAGTATATAGGTGGTGTCTCTTGTATCATATTTTCTTCAACTCTCATCCACGTGCAAATAAAGCTTTTAATATGCTTTGTATACATACAGTTGCCATAGGGTGTATTTCGTCTTTTAAAATCCACCTGTTTTTTCTTTTCTTTTTTTTTCTTTTATTTCTGAACGCACAACTTATCGCGGTGGTACGAAAATTTCTCTCCTATACCCTTTCCATGAGAGATATATACACACGTATGGATGATGATCGTTTTTGCCAACGATTTTTAAACAAATTGAAATTTTGCACCCCAAAACGCGAGGCTGAAACTTGTTACCGTGAGCATCGTTGTTCTTGCGCGCGATATATATAATACCGCGACACGCCCCGTTTGATCATAGGTACATATATAAAGAAAAGAAGAAGGTAATAAAAAGGTATATATGTATACACATATATATATATATATGTGGGAGACCAACGGGGTCTCTTGACTATATATTATATACACATATGCAACGGGCAGCCGTAGCATGTATATAGTGGTGCCCAAGTAATAATATACAGCTGCCCGTGCACCCACTAGTAAATTAAATATAGCATCGGCAACATATTATCTATATATGTATATATATAGACGTGGGCTCGTGTATATACGAGCGCAGTCCAAGCGATCGGCCATCGTCATCTGGCATCTGGATGTACACACGCGCGCCGGCAGATGCTCCTTGAGAGCGAGGTAGTAGGTATCAGCTGGGCCCTATCTAGTTCTGTCTTTTTTTTTTTTTTTTTTTTTTTTTTTTTTTTTTTTTTTTTTTTTTTTTTTTTTTTTT